GTGCAGCATTTAGTACTTTCCTGAATCTGTTGTTGTTGTGCTAGCTCTATCACGGGGCCAATCTCTTCATTTTGTTTATATTTTCCTAATGCAAATTGTGACTTCTACCCTGGGAACATGACAAAGTCTTTCTTCACAAATGCAAAGAAGACAGGAAACTCATGGTTCCCACAAAGCAGCTTTGACTCTTACTAGACGTGATAATTTCGTTAGCAGGATCCCAGACATCACAGCATGGATCAGTGAGCCAGACTAATAAAGCCACAAGGGCTCCTGTTCACCCATGGAAAGTGGCTCATCTGAGCAGGGTCTAGTCTGCTCTTTGTCATCCTGGGCCAAGCTGTGCAGCTTTTCCTCGCTTAGTGTGAGTTTCGCGAAGCAGATATGGGATCTCAGCCTCCGCCTTTGTTCTACCACTGGGAGCTCCAAAATAGGACTCCTGATCATTTGTCTCCAGACGATCCCAGGAGACACATCAGCTTGTGCAACTGACTGCTCAGTCCTTCTAATCCCTGCTGTGCCTGCAGAGCGGTGCAAACACCCCTGCGCTGGCCCGTGGCCAGCTCAAACACCAGCAGCAAGCTCACTGCCATCAGCAATCTCTGCAGGGCAAACCACTGGAGTATTCACCCAGCTTCTTGGGTGAGTTTTGCATCTGGTAGTTTTGTGCTTTCCCAGCCATGCTTCTCCTACTCCCTGAACTGCCTGGTTCCAAGCACATCGAGGTTTATCTGCTCCATGTAGCAATGGTAGTAGCCACCACAGTTTGACAAAGCCTTCAGCCGTTCCAAAGAGCACATTTCCTTGTGATGCTACCACAGACCATTTGCCGGTAACCCTAAGTGCTGGATCGCTCTTTTAAATAAAGCCTTCAGAACCTAGAGTCATATAATTACATGCTCTCACCTAATTTCCCATTACTACTATGTCGGACAATGCTATGAAACAGCAAGTTGAAGCTCTGCTGTGGCTGACCACCTGCTACCAGAAGAAATCACTTTCAGATAAGATATGTTGTAATGAAGGTTAGCATGTGGGGGGCTGAGCCCTTTTACACAAAGGAAAGAAAAACAGATCCAAGGTAAAATATTTGGGGCTGGATATTACTGTGATATGAGGTCTGACCCATGGCTTAGCTTTTGCAGCACATGACGGTGTGTTTTCATAAAGATGGCCAGAATAACCTTCTCCATGGCTGCCTACTCACTGCTTCTGAGAGAGAAGCCTACGTGTTCACAGGTAACAGCTTTACCAAACAAAATCAGGAGGTTTAAAATTTTATTTAGGAACAAATTGGCCTCAGTCTATACAGATTGGGTCAAAATATATGTAAAATTTCAATTACCAGTCAATGGGCCCATCATTTTTCTGTACCAGAGTTTGTCAGTCAGAGGAGCTTAGCTCTTAGTGCTTGCCTTTGCTTCATGCCTTAGTTTCACTACAGGTGGACATGTGTAAATTGCTCCAGCAACATGGAGGATTTTTTTAAAAGCCTGGTCATTAGACAAAGAAAATAGAAAGGTTGGTGGAATGGGACCTAATTAATTGTGTCTATCATACGTGGAAGAAGTAAAACGAAAATGTGAAATGCTGAAATAAACAATAAAGTTAAGCTTTATTCAGGATTAGAAATCGCCAGTTGGGACCTAATTATACAATGTAATTTCTGAGTAAGCAGATCCTAGAGGAATAAATGCTGTGCAAAAATAAATCTGCTGCATAGAAAGTAATATATGAGTTAGAACACAAAGGATTTGGACTCCTAACAAAAACATATTTAGAGACTAATACTGATGTTGGCTGCCATTCAAAGCCTACCCATTGAAGAGAAAATAATAATAGATTAATAACATGAAATATTATTGAGTAGATGATGCCAACAGGACTGGGAACAAGGAAATGTCACAGGTCTCCTCTCCTGCAGGAGGGCTCTAATGCCCACTGCAGGCTGCTAGAGGGCAGATTCCCCATGAGGCTTGAGATCCGCAGCCCCCTCCTTACCCCATCTGTGCTGGGAGCTGAGGTGAGAGGGTGCCAGGCTGCGTGATGGAGGAGCAGCTGGTACCTCCTGTACAGCAATGGTACCAGGCTTCAAGAAGGGGAGGCTGGAGATGACCAGACTGGGCTGTGCTCCCCAGTGCTCAGCCTGGGTCCAGTACAATGCATAGCAGCTCCTGCCCATCTGGGGCTTCCTCCTGCCCCTGGAAACCAAAGACTGGGGATGGGAGAGACCAGCAGAGACTGGCAGTTTGAGGAGCATTGAGCCCCCAACATGCTTTCTGAATGGGGCAAATGTGTAGAGGACAACCTGGTTTTATGAGTTTAAATCTAGTCTTGTGTTTCCATGCCTACAGAAGAAAGAGGGATATCTTTTGTCAGTTCATTCCCAGGCTCTTAAGTCATGGGGTTAGGGCTGCGGTACTAGGCAACCGACATTTCTGCAGCAGCAAAGATGAAAGTCAGACAAAATAATCCAAAGAAGTGCTTAACTGTGACTATTAAGTCCCAAAGGATTTATCAGAGTTTACTTTCCTCTTACTTCTAGGAGAGACTTCGACTGAAGTCCATTAAGCAAATTAAAAAGCAGAAGGAAAATAAACACAGATTAATGGAGATAGGAATTTTATGAAGGAAAGGAAACAGCCAGACCTTGTGACAAAGCTCCTGGGCTGCTATTCAGGTTTTAAGGCCCCCAGACCTTATAAAAGGAGGAGATTATTCTCTTCACGTTGCCCTGCTGGTAGTTGTAAAAGAGAGTTAATAGAATTTTTTTTCCCCCGCTGAGAAGTCCTGTAGAAACTCAAGTAATAATATAATCCATAATGTTTCAGTTCAGTGCGTGACATGCAACTATTTGTTCTTTTGTTTCCAGGCAGGGAATCGAGCTGTAAAT